AATTGCTTCATTTCAAAGAGCACTTAAAGATGGAGAGAAACATTTTCTCTTCCCCTCTCCCTGATTTTTTCCAACAATCTTGTGGGAGAGGCCACTGTTATACACACTTTACTCAGGGAGCAAGGGAAGCCAAGGGATAGTGGTCTGGATGTGCAGTCCTCGGTGTTTGAGTTTCAGCCTCTCTTTTTAGCAACACTGCAAATACTTTCCCTGATCTTATCATTATACACAGTCTAGGCTTTAAAATACCATTGCTTGCCCCCCACTTCCTGAGAAGGATGTTGCAGATGCAGTGGTGAGAAGCTTCTGGGGTGATGCTCTGGGGTTTGGTTTACATTGGATGAGAGGCCCTTGGTGGACATTACTGTTTTGTTGACAAACCTCAGGAGTGGAGAAAAATGCTGGAAGGGCAATTCAGTTGCTTTGGCAAATCCAGAGCAGCCCTCCTTGTCCTGGCCATGAGACTGTGCAAGCACTGGAAACCAGACAGGTTCTTTCTGCCCAGCATGAAAGCAGAAAGCTGAGAAATGTCCTTGTTGTCTCATGTCCCATAGCTTTACTGAACAGAACTTACCTTGACATTGTAGGGCAGTAAAAGAGGACAAGCATTTGTACTGCTTCTAGTTCAAATACTGAATTATCCAGAGGGACTTAATGCAGCCAATTAAAGGGTTGCAAAACATCATCTAATTTATTTTTCCCATTAATAGAACAGAGACTAGATTAAAAATACAGATGATCACAGTCTGACTAAGCCTTTTCCCTTCCTATTTATTAATATGAAATTATGCATTCAGGTCAGCTCAGTTACTCCTTTTAAGTATGGAGTCTTCATACTGTACTGACCTTTGCAGAGGATTTTGGTGTGTGAAAGTGCAAACTACCTAAAGGTTAGAAGAGAAGTGTTCATTTTTTTAAGTGTACAAACTCAATGGGTCATGAAGAAGTTGGGTACACTATAAGCACAATATGTGATTTCTTCCTATGCATGTTTGTTCAGCAGTCAGATGTACCTTTTTTCTGTGGGGTCTCTTACCAGGTAAGTATGCATAGAATTGCAGCATAAGAGAGAACTGGCATTATCAGTATTACAGCAAAAGAAGTCAGCTGCTGCTCCTTTTCTCATTCAGTTATTACTCGCCTAATGAAGAAGCATTTCAGCTTGAAACACTGTGAGTTCGAAACTAAAAACAAAAACACTTACCAAACTCCTTATCCTACATGGATTCTCTCTCTCTCTCTCTCTCTCTCTCTCTCTCTCTGCCATCCTCTTCATTATCTGATCTGTATATATTTCTGACCCTAATAATATAACATTGTAAATCATCATCCAGAGTAGCAATTAGGGCAAGGTGCTTTTCACAGAGGCTTCTGGTAAGATACCATTCTCGCAAAGTCCTATTTTCCCCTGAAACACGTAAGGAGTTATTTGTTTTCTGCAACGTTGTCATGGTACAATCATAAGCTTTGGAAAATGTTATGCACTGGCATTTGCCTCCAAACTCTCCACCCATATTCATATTTGTTTCTGGAGCTTCTGAAACTCACAGTTATTACTCACAGAGGGCGGGGAGGAAGCCACTCAGTAAAGCTCCATTAATGGCTGCTTCCAGTCCTGGGGAGAATCAGAAGCATTCCCCAGCTGCAGCCTCTACAAGGGCCTATGCTTGACCACAGACTGCAAGCAGAGGCTCCCGTGACTGAACCCGAATGCAGGTTTGCTCCAAGCCATATCACTGCCTGAGGCAAAGGACATGATGGAGCTTCCTGCTCCAAGGGCAGAGGCTGGCTGAATTTTATTCCAGCACATGCCAAAAGACAGTATGTGCTAGCATGCCTGGGGACACACATGGCTTGGTCTTCCAACAGCAGAATATGTGAGTGCTTAGGAGTGACAGCAAGGGGGTGCCTGAGGTATCAGGCGCCTCATTTTGCCTAATGGTAGGGCCAGCTGTGCCTCCTCTTTCCCTATATGCCCCTTCACACTCCCCGAGGTCCAGCCATCTGGGTGGATATCAGAACTAAGCAGGCATTAGTCTGCCACATGGTGACAGTTCCGGATCCGCAGGCAGCAGGCATGTTTATCCGCCTGAGGGACCAGGGGCACAGAGCACAAGGTTTTCTCTAGTGAGATGGCTAGAGACAAGCACTGAGGCTTTAGAGGCCTTTATGAGTAGAGACTGGCTGTTGGGGTTGGCTGACAGAGCACTCTGCCAGGTGTCATGGTCACGCTGGCTAGGAATGATGGGAGCTGTATTCTCACACATCTGGAAAGCACCACGTTGGGGGAAGGCTGATCTAAGAAGATTTCAGTCAGCAGAACAGCTGTGGCAAAGGAGCTGTTGTAGCAGAAGGCTGATGTAGCAGAAGAGCTTGGCTTCTGAAAATCCCCAAACTGTAAACTATACATGCTGTGTATTATGCAGTTATTCAGTCACACAAGGCCTTATCCGCAGCCTGAAGTGCCATAGCCCAGAGAACTAGTACTTAATCAAGATCATGGCCAGGTGGGTTCATTTGACCTCTCTCTAGTTTTTAGTAGACATTAACATTGCATGATATGGCATAAAGGCCACATTTGAGGTCATAAGTTGGGATGAGTGTGGAGGTAGGAGCTGTTCGTTTTCAGCACTAGCACTAGCACTAGCACTAGGGTCTCAAATGGGTTACCTGGTTATTTTTGGTTAGGACTTACATAGAGCTTTCTTCAACACAAAGATAAGCAAGGGTGACCAGCCCTTGGTTCTTGCATGGCCGGTGGAACAGGAATTGCTGTTTATTGTCCCCTTGTTCCGTTCTGGTACAGAGTATGAAGGAAGGAGACACGCAGGAAAATTACAAATGGCAAGACAGGTTAGGGATCTCCCTTGCTGCCAAACACAAACATGCAGGGAAATGTACGAAAGATGTTGGCAGTTCAAAGAGGAGCGGAGCAGAATTTAACTGGTAAAACACATTTGGCACCTCTAGGAAGAACTATTAGTATAATCATAACCATATGGTGATCAAATACTTATGACTGTCCTAGAGGAGTTTCACTGCAACAAATAGAAATTTAAAATTTAAAGCATTGTGGCAAAGCAACGATCTACATATGTAACCTCCTCTCCCCACCCACTTTTTGTTTCTGTAACTGCACTTCCCCAGCAGACTGAAAAACCACATGCTCTGATAAAGCAGCTACTTTAAAAATGGGTACAAAGGAAACACACTTGCTTGCTGCAAAAGAACCCTTGCAGATGCAGGAGGCGGAAGGCTTAGCTGCCTGCTTGGTGTACACAGAGCACTTCAGAACTGGTTTGGGTTACTTTGTCTTGCCTATCATTGCCATTGCCACCATGCTATTACTGTAATGTTTTGAAAAATAATTTGTTTTGAACTTAAACGTTTCCAAATGTTAAGAATAAAGTGCAATCTTTCCTTAATCTTAAGTTTTGAAAAGGTTCTTATTTTACCATGAAGATCGACACAGAAGCTCAGTCAACAAACATTTATGAACTTGGGTCCACTGATTTTTAAAGATGCCACTAAACATATTTTCCCACCACCACTTGGTATGGGCTTTGCTTTCTAGATCAGTTACAGGTAATAAGAATGGAAAAGCTTTTGTATTTGTATGCAAATAGTTTGATGAAAATTAAGCTCCACTAACATCAGTGAGGCTCCCAACTAAATATACTTAGCAAAGCAATGTAAACTTATTTATGAATGTAGCCAGTACAAAGATTTTATCCAGGCCTTAAGCAGGACTGTGAACACAGAAGTGTTTAAATAAACTGCCAAGGGATACTGTGATTTCTGGGTCCATCCCTGGGGACTGACATAATGTCAGAGGCATTCATTAATCTGGTATGCCATTATATATTATAATTTTATTAATTTAGATTTCTAACAGTAACACATGAATTTGTTTAATACACAGCTAGCTCAACAAACTTTCCTTATGATCTAGCCTGACTGTTATTCTAACCCTGTGCCAGATTGTGCCAAGCTGTTTAGTTGTTCTGTGATAGAGGCAAATATTTTCTTAGAACAAGGTTAAGACAAACAATTTGTCTGTGATCAGAGATATTTTTGTATTTCAACTTCCAAACCTTTTATGGAAGCAAACGGAGGGGGGAAACTTGTTAGCTGTGTTAAAGATGATGCTAAGCATTTTAAATAATGCTTCTTATGCATTTATTTCTAGCTATGTACAAGCTGAACTTCATGTTTGCATCTAAGACATTTAAGGAATTTTTGAATGTGTAGGAAATGGTGAATTAGGCCCACTGAAGAAAAAATAAAATAAATTCTGAGGGCAATTTTTATTGGTTTGTATTCCATAGATTTGAAATAAGACAGGACTGAGATAAGGCTGAATGAAGAAATAGGTTTTGCATTCTTCATTTTCGGCATATTTATCACATGGTGCTGGGGAATGACAAGACCTTTCTGTGTCAAAATTTGCAAAGGTTTGCATTCTTCAGAGGGGCTGCTTGTAGGTCAAAATCAGCAGGGTTGGGAGGATCTTAAGGACTAGCAGTTTATTGCACCATAAACTACATGCAACAGCTTATCCCAAGAAATATGTTTGTCTTTAATAAGGTGCCACAGAACCCTTCGTTGTCCTTCCTTTCTAAGTGTTAATTCCTACTAGAGCAAGCCTCATGGCACTTGCTTTATGGAATTTGTCTCAGGACGCCTGTTATTCTTAAATTAATTACATGCCGAGAAATCTCTTCTAGAAATTGGTTAACAGCATTCACGACACAAGAGAGAAGGCAGACGCTCTTTCACATGATTTCCGGACCCTTCTTTTCGCCGCTCCACCGCCACAAGGTAAAGTCGCCCCCCCGCGGCCCCGCCTCTTGCGGAGGTCTGTCACCCAGACCCCGCCCCCTCCCCGACGCTCGGGCTTGCTCCTCCCTTCCACAGGGCTGCCGTCTCCCGTTCGCGCATGCGCAGTGAGCGGTCCTGTGCCCTGCTGCTCACGCCGGTGGAGTCTCGCAAGCGGTAGGGACGAGATCCACCCGGGAGGGCAGCGGGTCATGGAGCTCGTGGGGGCGCAGCAGCAGGGGCCTGCCGGGCGGAAGAGGGTGCCCAACCGGGACAGGCCCACGGCCGAGGACGACGCCCTGAACCAGATCGCTCGCGAGGTGAGGGAAGCAGGCAGGCAGGCGGGCGACGGTGGGCGGGGCCGCCGGCCTGGCGGTGAGTGTGTCCGTGCCCCCGCGCGCCCCTCCGGTCCTCCAGCCGCTCCTTCCCCGGCGGCGCGGCCCTTCCCCTGCGGGGCGCCTGCGAGGGCGCCTGGGCGGGGGGAAGGAAGGGTCGGCTGGTGACAGCCGTTGGCGCCCTCCCCCTCCGCCCAGCTGTCGCCTTCCCCGCCCTGCCACCCCCTTCCCCTCTCGGGGGGAGCTGTCAGGTGTCGCCGCCCCTCGCCGCCCTTCCTTTCCCCTACCCACAGTGACTTCCGGAGAAGGGCAGCGCTGCGGGGCTCGGCGGCGGCGCGGGCAGGGAGGGGCCGGGCCCAGGCCAGCCAAAGTTAAGCACTTTCACGCCCCGTTAATTTCAGTGGCTGTGAGCGGAACACATAGCCGCTGAAATCGTTGGCAAGTGGCAGTGATGCAGTTTGGCTGGGTTATGCCTGTATCTAAAACGTAGACCTGTTCAGTTTCAAGGCACTGCTGTGGTGAACTGTTCATATCTTAGCTCTGCGGATCTAGCTTGCCTCTTGCATTCTGTGACCTTTTAGCTCCATTTCTTTTTCTCTCTCTCTACCTGTTTATGTAGCCTGTGCCAACTGATGATGATACATCTGATAAAGTACACTTTGTCCAAGAAGCTGATGCAACAGTATATTTGCTGGTTTTTAAAGCAACCATCAAAAATTATTTTGGTTTTGCATCAAAGATAAGAAGAGGGTCATAGCGAGGTTGCTACTCCTGAACTAGCTCCTTTAGCTTTCTCTTTAATTGCAGCTTCATCTGTATCAAGTAGCAGGTAATAAAATTTGGCTTTATATCAGGAAAGTTGTCACTTGCTGATTTCAGCATATGAGATCTCTGGAAAGGAACAGTTGTGTTTTATGATGAGTTGATAAGCCCAAGAGGAAAGGAAGGTATGAGAGATGCTGTCGGTAGAGAGAGCCTCCAAGTTTTTAACAACTTTTCCCCAACAGCAATAACAAGCCACCATGTATCTATATTGAGGTGGCTTAGGTGTTCTCTGCTGCTCTTACTTATCCATCCCTTCTTCTCATCTCTTTTTCCATATATCCTGTGGGGTTGGGAAAGAAAGATGGAACCTCTCTTTCTGAATTATTTCCCAAAGATGGTTATACCCATTTCCTAGCGGATTCTAAGACTGTTATTGTATCTGTCTAACTTTAGTTATAACATACAGTATTGGAAATGGATAATTTATAACCTGTTATATACTATTACTCTATAGCTATAGTTATATGCTATTAGCCATATCTCTTCAATAGGCTCATTATAATATACACAGTTATATAGTTGCAGATATAAATTGCAGCAAATGATATCTTCTTAAGTTTGGGTATTTTCTCATAAGACTTATTTTAACATCAGGAGCCTTCTGTAATAGAGTGTTAAGAGTCAATGGTTGATAGTATGACAAGAGTATTAGCTATATTAAAAATACTTGTACTATGTGAACTTGGTTGTTAGAAACATTGAATAAACTTTGTCTTTGACTGGTAGTAAACTAGTAGTGATTATAGGGTTTAAGGTAAACAGTTAAGCCACTTCTAATAATACTGTAGTAGACAAAAGCAAACACTATTTATCTGCTTTTTGTTTTTTTAATGATAATTATGTATTTTGTGTACAGGTACATATTTTGGTAACTATACCATGGCATGCTACTTTAGGTAGCAATTTAATTGCAGGAAAAAGCTATTAAAGCAAAATTTGCAGGATTCTTCCATGTTGGATAATTGAAGAATCTTCTAAGTAATCTGAGATTATAAATCTCAGGCACAATTATATTTATGTAAAGTTGGCTTTCAAGTGTAAAGAAAAAAGAACTCTGTGTGTAGGCTTTTAAATAGTTCCTAAAGAAGAGTTTATTATGGAGCTTTTAAGAAGTATAATTACATTTGGGATATATTGGTTCATTCAGATGTAACACCAACCCCTTTTTTGGTGTTAAGACTATGAGCAGCTTGGTGTTCACTTCCTCTGTGTTTTCCTCTGAGTATTCTGATTATGGTATACTTCCTCTGAGTATTCTGATTATGTTTTGTGTAAAGCTGAGTTTTGTTTGGGATCTTGGTTTGTGGACAGCAATGGCTTGTGCAAACCACAGCTTACTGGCCTTGAGACAAAAAATGGGACGCTATGGTTTGAATAGGATGTGTGAGGAATCTTTTGGGGGGTGGGAATCCATTCGATTCTCTGGGCTCAGCTCCCCAGACTCCAGTCTGTTTTGTGGTGGCCCTGAGTCTGAGTTCCTGGTGAGTGTGCCCTGTGTTTGTAGAGCACTTGCCAGGAATTGAGCCCCATGTGTAGCACACACAATGCCCCTTTCCTGTGTGTGCCACTGCCACACTCTGTTACTGGCTGCAGCAAGCGGGGATTAAGTTTGGTTGCTGGGAGTGGCAGCTGGCATGGCTGCTTGCAGCATTCCTTTCTCACATGCACTGCTGTTGCCACTGGCGGCAGTGAGTGTGGAAGAAGGTGGGGTGCTGAGAATGCTGCCTGCCACACCCAGGCACAGCAGCCCTCTTCTGCCTCCTGCCGCTGCTCCTGACAGGGAAGTTTGCTAGTTGTGCAAGGGGGATCTGTGGACCTCCTCTTGGCTAGACTTGCTTTGCAGAGCCAGGCTGAGCATAAGAGGAAGTCTGTGGATGCTAGAGGAATGGACTCTGCAAATGTTCGTCCCAGCCCTAGATTTGAAGACAGGCCCCTTTTAAGAGTCTTAGAGACCAGGCAAGCAGATGGTCACCTCTCATCTCATTTCTCTGTCGATGCCATTTCGTCAGCTGGAAAAAATAAACCAAATATGCACAGAAACCTTTCACATACCATTTAAATTCGACGACAGAAGGACTATGTTAAAAAATTTTCTCTAAAAGAGAAAACCAAAAGCTCTATTAGATTAACTTGCTGTGTACAGCAGTTATTCAGTCCTTCTACATATGGGATCCTCCTTTGATGTTTCAACTAATACAAACACCACTAAAGTTAAAAAAAAGTTTATACACAATACCAGGGTATTGTAAAAGTTATATTTTGCCCACTTTTTCTTGGCATCAGATGAAGTTAAGGATTGTCAAAACTAATTTTGCTTAGAAGGTGCCATTCTGTAGAGAGAATAATTAATGAAGACAGTCTTGACTGCAAAATTGTTGGCTAATCTAATTTTAATAAAGGATAATTTGGAGAATGGGCAGAAGTAGATAGTATTTGGAAATGTTTCAGTTTTCTTAATTGATAATTATTTTCAAAATACTATGTGCTGTAGCCTTTGATCAATTATATTCATCTGTAATATTAAAGAATGGGATGGATTATTTTAGTTCAGACAACAAGAGAAATTGGAATATATTTTGGAAAAGCTCTCACTAAAGCTTATGTATCCCTTTTAATGCTTTCTGAATTTGGGAAAAATGGGGCAAGCTTGCCAGGAAACCAAATGAAGTCACAGCTTCTGTGTAAGTGCAGAAGTTTTTCTAAGATACCATAGAATGTTTCCACCATGAACATATGCTTGGCAGTTATTTTACAGTCACTTATTCCATTTGGGAAAATGTATTTGTGTCTCCATGCTTTTGATCTTCCTAAGGTATGTCTAATTCAGTCATTTGGTGACAAAAGGTCATCTGTAGGTCATCAACTCCAGTAGTGGAGTTAGTCTTATGATTATTCCTGTTCTGTTCAGAGAAATCATGTGGGTTCTGTAAAGAGGCAGGAATGTGAAAATGCTTGTCAGTCGGTGTCAGTTAGCAGTGTTGATGTTGCTCTTCCATATATAAGGCCTAGGGCAATTGCTTCTATTGCACCACCTCAAAAGGGAACCATTTTGTATGCCTGTTTTTCCCCCCTTGCCAACAGTCTTTTTGATAGGTTATTTTTCCTTGTTGAGATTGCTCTGTTTGTGCTGGAAGAAACTAAAAATTAAAATATTAATAATTAAAAATAAGTGGTTTGACACAAAGCAGAAATGGAGGCTCTATGTATTTTGAGGAAGGGAAATAAGAATCACATAAGTTTGAGTCTCATACTGCTTATAATAGCAAACCATCTTTTGGCATTAATATCTGAATGTAGACACCATGGGCTTATTTATATGGCTGTGAGCAGGTCTGAACAACATGCAGGTTCTCTAGCATGGTGAAAACATGTGCTTTCTGATTTGGGCATGTCACGTAATGGGTTTTCAGTTTCAGGAATGCAGTTAGAATCTGTCTACTACTACTGTGGATGTTGTTACTCCCTCAAGAGAGTACAGGTATCCAGTTTCCAAGTTTATACTCCCTCAAGAGAGTACACGTTTCCAATTTCCAGCTATTTTGAGCAAGTGTAATAATAGCTTTGATAAGGCAATGATGATCTGAATGCATTGTTCCCAAACTTAGCAGCTCTCTGTGGGTTAATGAGAGTTCGGGTAATACTATTCTACTGTAATATGTGGGTACATTCTCAACATATATCTTTTAGAAATTATTAAAAATTGCCATCATTCAGAATTTCCATGTGACTGCTATAATGATTATAATGTATACCAAAGAACCTGAATTGGCAGTCAGGTTAATCCTAACCGAGTTTACATACATTTGTTTTTCCTAGAATATTTTATTTATTTATTAATATCCCACCTTTCTATACATTGTGTCCAATGCTGTTAAAATAGTTTCAAATAGCTTCATGTGGTTACCAAATACCAAACAAAATGGGTATAAAGAAAAGGGCATAAGAAACAGGACACTGAGAAAGCCCTGAAGAAACATCACCCTCTATGAGGGCTGGGCGGGCTGCATGCTGAGGATGTTTGGGAGGCTGCAGGCTTCTGCCTTTTTAACAGATCAATAACTTTTGAGGGCCTATTTACAAAGTTGGTTAAGTAGGCCCTAAACAATTTCTGATCTGCTAAAACTGCCTACTCCTATTTTTGAAGAAGCAAGACTTACAGC